ATTTCACAGGTTTTTTTTTAGAAGTAAATCACTGATAAAAGGTTCATCACAGAAAACTTATGTTCACTTCAAACATCAGAACAGATACTTGGGAAATAGAAAAAATGTGCCCTTTATCTGACCATTCTATTAAAAATAATTGGCTAGCTAGAATTAGTGGACTTTTAGCTCATTAACTCTTTTGCCTTTATTTGTTAATTTGTAGAAATAAGTGAATTAATCCTTAATTATGGATCACTGCAATTCCTGAAGATAAGGATTTGCATGTAGCTTACATTAGGGACTAAATAGGATTCCCATTTATTTAATCAATGCCAAATCCAGATTGAAATAGTTGTGATTGGCACACTCAGTTCTGAACATTCCATTGTTCTCTCTCTCTCTCAATGCACAAGATATATTCAGCTGTAAGATGTAAGATTGACACAAAAAGCAGTCTCTGGTGTACTAAGCACTGGCTATATGTCCCAACTTCTGTCCATCAAAATGAGTATAACAGTTTTATTACACTGCTAACTGTAAAATCACCACTAACACAAAGGGGAAATAAGAGGTAAATTATGTTTAAAGTGTTACTAAACCCAGGGCCCTGCATTCACTATATCTGGTCTCCCACAGTACACAGGACATGGAAATGCAATTATTTTAGTAAATACAAACTGCTAAATACCTTTTCTCCTCAGCAGTTAGAGCAGTCTTGTGACTTCTATCAGTGTTCAGCAAAGCACTGGTTACAGCTTGTAGGAGGAGTTTTCTTTCTGCTCTAGGAGGATGCAGAACTCCTGACCTTTGTCTGGACAGTGCTGATTGGCCCTGTGCTGATCACATGCACTCTCCCAAGAAAAAAAAAAACCTCTCTAGCAATGCATACCAAACTGAGCATGTGTAGAGTGTCTCCATGATATGTCTTATCAGGAGATAAGAGGGAGACACTGGAAGAAGGGGAGGATCAGAGAAGACAGGATCAAACAGCATTTTTACACAATGCACAGGATTAACCCCTTAGGTTCCACAGTGAGTATAACAAGCATGCTTTACTGCATATACAGACTGATTTTACTGTTGTGGGTTTAGTAACACTTTATGTTTGACCAACGTAATACTATCTCTTATTTAAATCACCTGTCAAATAAAAAAAATATTTATTTCACATGTATGTATATCAAAAATATTTTTTTTTTCTCAGTTTTGGCCAGAGTCTAGAAGATTTAAAGCAAAAGCACCTGTCAGTTTATTTTTTTGTTTTCTGTATGTGGCTGGGGAGATTTTTCTTCACTTTCTATTATAGAGATGCAGCAGGAAATATGAGAAAATCCAGATAAATCTCCACTTAGCTAGAACAGGCACCTCTACTGGTTGGTTTACTTTTACCCTGTCTTGTGGTGATAACTGAAAATTATCCATCACCTTCTCTGTCAGTACCAGTGGTCACCAGAACAATTAGAGTGGTTAATCTACTTAGTGAGGGCACAGACAGACAAAAACCTAACAGGGGTTCTAATGTCTCCCGACTTCTTCCAAAAATAAAAAATAATGTTTCGGCTACATGCTTAAAATTAAAGTGCTAAAAAGTCTTATGTGTAAACACATGAGCACATATTTACAAAAGGCAACAAAATAAAAAATATAACCACTTTTATATACTTGCCATACACATATATGAGGCCCCTCTAGTTGGGTGGACTTTGACTCAGAGTGGCCTCTTATATGGGTCCCTATGTAAACACTTTATTGAGCTGAGAGAATGCTTCCTGAGTCTTCCTAGCACTGGATACCAGTGGGTACTGGAAAGCGCCAGATGCATACTTGCAATCGGAAGCTTTCCAACCATGTGACAGCTGTGACTGCCAATCACAGCAGTCACATGATCAGAATACCCATCTACACCTTCTGGCATTTAGAACCTGCTAAAGAGCCAGGAAGTGGTGATGGGAAGGGGTTAAAGCACATTTACACCTGCAGACTTTTGCTTGGTGGTACATAGCATAAAGATCTGTATCTATTTAACTGCTCATGTAATGTATAGATGCATATCTCTGAACCTCTCCAGCAGGGGCGGACTGACAACTCATGGGACTCCCGGGCAATAGGGGATCATGGGGCCCCTGTGTCCTTGCCCAAACTCAAAAAAGCCTATGAAAAAGGTACCAGGGGCATCTCATGGGGCCCCCTACTGACCCTGGGCCCTCGGGCAGTCCCCAAGTTTCCAAATGGTCAGTCCGCCCCTGCTCTCCAGTGAGTTTCACTTAGGAATAAATGCACTTATTCAGTACTTATTTTTAGCTGTCATTGACGGAACTACCAGGGTTGCAGAAGTCACACTTGCAATAAGGCCCTGGATTCCGCCATTGTGTGGGGGACCCATGCAGTGTTAAAAACCACCCATTACTTTAGGGACAGTTTTATAAAAAACAGCCTGATTTCTCCCGTCTGTAGGAATCAGCCTGTAAAATTAAGTACCGATGGCTTCAACTGAGCTGACTATCAGTGACATTCTCCCAGCATGGGAGGGAGAGCATAGAGGAATACAGCTGCTCCACCTCCACCCGCCCCTGTTCCTCCTCTATCTGACCACCCCACCCACACTCCTATCCTGACCTGCAGCTGTGAAAGCGAGAGGGGATGTGTGCGTGGGAGATATGAAAGCCAGAAGCAACACATTCCAGGCTGTATAGCTGATGCCTGAGCCACCAGATATCAACCTCAGCTTGAGTGAGCACTGAGCACTGTCTGCAGTACACTGTGATCTGCGAACTGTCTCCATCTCCCTCCCTTCTCTCTCCCATCTGTCTCCCCCACCCCCCTTTCTGTTCCTCCAAGAGCTTTTATCAACTTGCTCAGTTCCACTTAGCACTTAGGCAGCTCATACATTGATCGCTTTTTTTTTTCATCCATTAAGTTGAACAAAAAAAAAAATATGATCCAGTTCCCCCATCTACTTATTCCAGGTGAATGGGGGAACCTCACACTGAGGCAGTGGCAGAACTACTAGGGTTGCACTTGCGACTGGGCCTTGGTGTTTCACCACCATTGGGGTTACCAGCCTCCTTTTGCTATCCTGCCTCTGTTATTGACAGTGCTGATCCATGGCAGCATCAGGCAAAACATTAGGACCCAGTGCTGGTTACATTATGGGGTTGATGGGCAAATGCACAGGAGACCCAGCACTATTGGTTGTGGACAGCTGAGCCCCAAGCTGGTCACCTACCAGCGGTAACACAACATAGCCTTCTCTGTTGACATGCTGATTGAGATGCCATCTAGTCAGATCTAATAATAAATGTGATAGTGGTTTTATTGATCAGAGCCCACACCTTACTGGCAAGGAGTCCACATGACTTCCGAACATATGGTTGCTATACATGTGATTGTACTCTTGATTCTAATAAATACTGTGTTTATTAGATCCGATTAGGAGCATCAGCCAGATTGCATCCTGAGTGGCATGTCAACAGAGAAGGCTATGCAGCATTACTGCTGGTAGGTGACCGGTAGGGGGCTCAGCTGTCTACAACCAATAGTGCCAGCCCTCCCGTGCATGTAACCATCAGCCCCCATAATGTAACCAGCAATGGCTGCAGCTGCCATGGAGACAGTAATGCTGGACCAGCACTGTCAATAGCAGGGGCAGGACAGCAAGAGGAGGCTGGGAACCCCCACAGTGGTGGGATGCCAGGGCTATGGCCCTGGTAATTTTTTTTCACTGCACTGAACCCTGTTCCCTCGTGTGCTGGTTACATATCTCTTGTTGTCTGCCACTGTGGAGGGGCACGGGACCTGCTGCAGAACACGTGAAAGGATCCCATTATGGGACTGTAATAAAGGGCTCTGTTATAAAATAAAATGGCCCCGAGATCAGTGGGAAGGGTTCAGAAACCAAAAGGTAAGGGCACAGGAGGGCTGGCACTATTGGTTGTAGAAAGCTGAGCCCCCCTGCCAGTCACCGATGGGAGGGGGGACCTTCATGGTTTCTTGCCTTGGGGCCCTGAAGGTTCTAGTTACGCCTCTGTTAGGTGTATTTCTTATTCTTAGCCATTTCAGTAATAGCCGCTCATCACTGTTGGTCCAGTGCAGTAAGTACAGAGTTGTTCATGTGAACAGCAGGATCAGCAGACTTTACTTTAAATAATGTCAGGCTGTGAAAATGGAAACTACTGTCAATGGGTATACTGTATGCTATGGAAAACTTTGAAAGGACAGTTTTTTATTTTAGGCTGGAGAAACACTATGATTATAATAAAACACAATCTCATGATTGGCAACATTTTGCTCATAATAGTTCACAAAGCAATTGCTAACATTAAGTTGGTCACCCTTATGGCTAATATACAGTGCTGTGAAAAAGTATTTGCCCCCTTCCTGATATTTTTTTTCTTTTTGCATGTGTCACACTTTCAGCTCCTCAAACTCATTTTTATATTACATAAAGATAGCCTGAGTAAATACAAAATGTAAACTTTCTGTAATATTAAAATGTGTTTGATGATCTGAATTACTTAAGTGTGACAAATATGCAAAAAAAATAAAAAATCAGGAAGGTGGCAAATACATTTTCACAGCACTATATATACTGTATGAGGCTGATTTACTAAGGGCAAATAAGCCGTTAATTTTTTTTTTTCACATAATCATGTTGTTCCCAGGATATTACCACTGCCAGGGATGTCTTCTTGGGGAAGATTGCAGTATGAGTATTTACCTATAGGTATGCTAAATTTGGATAGAGATCTTTACTGGCCAGGTTGTATATTCACAATACACTCATTATCTAATTTCTACAAACTATGAAAGTTAGATCAGATTTTTATTTCTTTATGAGAAATATTAAGTTCTCGTTATTCTTGAAGCTTTCTTTGAATTATCATACATTTTATGCAATTGTGCAGTATGAAAGTCTTTGTTTCTGTAATGAATTGTGAGGTTTACAGAAAGATACATTTGTTCCGAACGGTTTCAAAAAGTACTTTTTTTATCCACAAGTAAAACAGATTGGAACTTACCTCTATCGCTGTCATAAAGATATGCAAATTTATCCCATTGATAGTATTCAATCAAACTAAGAAGTGCTCCTTTGAGGTCCGGCCTCATTTGAATAACAAATGGATGAGTACCATCTGTTGGAAAGCTTGGGGTTATGAAGGAGACATGAAGAGTTCCACAAAATGATGTGATAGTATTTACAGACTTCTTATCATAAAATCCAAAAATAGCAAAGACTCCTCTTGAAAACTGGGAGCAGACTGCAAAAGAGAAAAAAACAGCAATCAGTATATGTCTACATGTTATTAATGTAAAAATACAGGGAAATCAAAGCAAAAAATAAATTCACAGCTGATAAATGTTTCTGTATTTACTTGTTGAAGATTTTGTAATTTTGTTCAACTCCTTTTGTAATTGATAAACTTCTGACTCATTGCACAGCCAGGAAGATCCCCTAGCAGCTATATGGACAGGGGGGGATGATAATATAGATTACTATTGAGCAGACTGGAGGTGAAGTGACATGGAAAGATGTATTGTAAATAAGAAGCTCTCGAGAATTACAAATTATTTGGTGCGTAAAACAGAAAGCATATGTTCTTAACTATGTATTTTTCCTATTTGCCTATAGCATTATAGCATATATAATGGTAAATCAACATTATATTGACAGCTTCAAAAAACACCACTCTCTACATACAGATCATTACCTATCTTGCTCCCACAGGGAACATACAATGACCTTTTAAACCGTCTAGCTCAACAGTGTATTGGCTTCAACTAGGGAATGTGCAGTTCTAGTAGTGTGTCAGAACAGGCACAGCTGACACTCATTGTTACAGAGAGATTCCAGTGAATTACGCAGGTATGAATGGCTTCCTCCAACATTTCAGGGTTAGTCTATGCTCACATTTGCATTACATTTGAGGATAGTGGGCTCAAAAGGTCAAGACACTATAGTATAGGTTGTAATAAAAAAATAAAAATTATATTTACCGGCTCTGTGCAATAGCTTTACACAGAGCACCCCCAATCTTCTTTTTGCGTCCCTCACCCATGGTCCTGGCTCCTCCCCTCAGCCAAGTGCCCTCAATAGCAAGCCTCTTGCTATGGGGGCTCCCAAGCCATATTCCTGTGAAGGGACATTGTCTATTCACACACAGTAAGCTAAATATGGAAGAAATTCTGGCATACAGGGAAGGCTATGCTCAACCTGCCAATGTAAAACTTTGCTCTTTAGTATTTTATTTTTGCTGTTTTTTTTAACCCCCAAGGTGTATGTGTTCTTATTTTTATTGCTGTTATTGTTTTTTATGCAAAACCGCTGATCTATATAGTTCTCTCAGTCATGGTCCTTCACACAGTATATATAGTAGCCTGTAGTAATTCAACCCCAGGCCTGTAGAAGGAGCAGTGGCTCCAAGCACGGAGCCTTTCATCTCTCTGGCCTTTCTCCCTCCAATGATGTCTCTTCCGCAGCATTTCATGCTGGTTTGGGAGGACTTCTTGGTGTCCACAGGGTGTCCTTGCCCCAACACTACCATCTACAGCTTTTGGACTGCGACATGGTTGAGCGGCCAGGATGAGTGGCCGATGCTGATATTTTGTATTATGAGCAATTTCCTATCTTATATCTTGTGAGTGTTTTTAAGCTCTTGTAAATAAATGGTTTACTATAATATTACACTTAGGAGGCACTTCCCTTTTCTCTTCTTTATTCATTCACACACAGAGCACGGCCCCATCCCCATTCTTTCCTCATTGGCTCACTGGCTGTGATTGACTGCAGCAAGAGTCAAAGGTTCCCGCTGCTGTGTGAGCCAATGAAGAGAGAGAGAGAGACCCGGGAGAGCCACAGCTCTCATGCATATCACTAGACTGAGATGCAGCTCAGGTGAGTAAAAGAGGGGCTGAGGGAGGAGTTGCACTCAGAAGGCTTTTTACCTTAATACGTAAAATACATTAAGGTAAAAAAAAACCTTCCGCCCTTAGAATTACTTTAAGGACTTGATACAAGTCAAACAAATATCGTTACTACATATCGTATATAAGGAAACCCGACTCTGGAATGTTTTTGTAGTTTCCAACATTACTAATGACAATTTAAATTGTTGTCCCTGCCCAGTTTACCTTTTTAAATTTCAGAACACCTCACCTTCTCATATGGAGATGAGATAAGAGGAAGTTGAATTACGAAAACTGGAGAGTGTAAAATCTGGTGCAGCTCTGCATAGAAACCAATCAGCTTCCATGTTTTTTTTCCAAAGCTTAATTGGACAAGCTGACGTTGGAAGCTAATTGGCTACCATGCACTGCTGCACCAGATTTTGCACTCTCCAGTTTTAGTAAATCAACCCCTTTCTGTCCTAAGGGGGGATCTATGGTGCTCATCCAGAGATGAAGTGAGTGCTGTCACCCAAGGACTAAAAGTGTATTACTGCCAGGGCCACCAGTGAAAAATTAAGGAAGAAATAATTTAAAAAAGAAAGCAAATTCAGCAACAACATTTAATAACTGCTAAGCTGCAATGTATTACATTTCTGATCTTTGGTTTAAATACATTTTTACAGTATAACATAAATATTATTGCGTCTTATGTGTTTGAACTTTGCACATCATTGGTCTTTGCACTGTCCTAATTAATAAGACATTTTACTTTAACGTTTGGTAAAGAATCAAAAACAATTGTAACCTACTGGTTAAGCTTAAGAAACTGGCAGGTTTATAAAGTGCAGGTATAAGGTGAAGGGATATAGTGGTGCCTGCACATACCTGAACCAGCTTCCAAAAACCAGAAGATATGGTCAAATGCCAGGCCATTCTGACAGGCACAGATTTGGCATTTGCTCCAGTGCTAAAGCTTGTTCATCCTCTCCTACCTCCTGTACAAATTGTATTGTCTAATAAGGCAGCCCATTATAATGATGGGCCCATAGGAACACAAGAAGCAAGGTCTAGTGGCCACCTCAGACATTACTTTGAAGTGTGCTTTGCCTGTAAAAATAGTTCAGCATTCAATTATATCTACAGACTTTTTGAAGCTGCTGCAGGTATGTACAGAAACCTCTAGCTGCCTGGACTTTGCATATGGATCAGTTTCTGTTTTCTACATACATAATCTCCATTAGGTACCCATATATGCTAAATGATAATTGTACATTTTCATATGATCAGATGATGTTTTGCACATACAGTTGTCATCGAGATTTGAAAATTACAATTACATGGATAAAATGCAGATCCTTATCTTTTGCTCAATCTGTGAATTAAGCCTCTTGTTAGTATTTGAGGTGGTAGGCAAACTGTGCCAGACAGGGTTCTTAAGGATCGATTTGGGGTACATCAGACCTCCTGTATAGCTCTAAACTGGTAACCTGTAAAGGCTTTCAAAACACTGCCTATGGAGATTTATAGGTACCATAGATTGTCACCTTTCCATGGGTTTATGCAATTTTAAAGCATAACATGTTAGGCATCTATTTACTTGAACATCACTTTTTCTTATTTAACTGCTATCAGCTGAATCTGGGTCACAGGAGGAGAAATGCACTCCTGTGACCAATAGGTGTGACCCACAGGAGAAGTATGGCCAAAAGAGCTTTGACCATACTTCTCCTTTAAGGCTAGGAGCACTACAAAAACTGCTATTTGTAAATGACAAACAAAATGTCTACTATGGAGTAAGGTGTACAAGTAGCATGTAGTAGTGATTAATCCCTAATGATCACACAATGCTCTGAATGTTTGTGGTTAATTGCTACTACATGCAACTCTCTATAGGGAGCCATTTCCTCCATATGTATAGCAATCTTAGCAATTAATCTCTAAGAATTTTAGAATTTCAAACTACCAAAAATGTACTGTGTGCTGCTAGCCAAAATGATCCCTCTCCACGTACTCTGTTTTTATGTGCTTATAAACTTTAAAATCCTTACAGGTTTCACAATCACATGTCTAATACCACACTGCAGTGCTTTATTCAATAAAAAGACACTCAGCAAAATGTTAAACTGGTATACTTAATCTATAATTTTGGATTCACAAATATAACACAATAACGTATTTATCATAGGATCTGCACAGTTTAGCATTTAGGAATAGTTTCAAACATAGATGCATATGTGAAAAATGAGTTACAGTAGATTAAAACTATAAAACCTTTAGATCATCAATGCCATACAGATTAAAATGCAGTAAAATATGCTGTAATTATCTTTATGACTGCAGAGTACAGAGCTTTCAAGATCCCTGACAATTCTAAACCCTGATGCCTTTAGGTACAGAATTCAAGGTCAGAATGCTGGCAACAGCTGATCTTCATTATGCTTCCACCCATAATCAGCTGCAGATGGTAGAACAGGTTGCTGTGCAGTGAGGCCATAGCAATGGTTAGTAATTAGCTTTGAAAAATAAGAAGTTGAAGTATGGCATTTCTTGGATGCAGACTCTCAACCAATGCTTTCTAAATAATAAACGCAAAATTTAACTGACATCCTTCGCTGGTCCGCAAATCAACATCAAGATAAAAAAAACTAAACCATGTGCCTAATGATAGATTTTCCACAATATACAGAAATGTTGATTGATATATATAATATATATTTATATACAGTCATGGCCGAAATTGTTGGCAACCCTTTGATATTTTTCCTGAAAATCAAGTATTTCACACAAAAAAGGTATTGCATTAACACATTTTTTGCTCATACACATGTTTATTCCCTTTGTATGTATTGGAAACAAATATAAAACAGAGGCAGAAAAGCAAATATGACATAATGTCACACAAAACCCCAAAAATGGGCTGGGACAAAAGTATTTGGCACCCTTAACTTAATATTTGGTTGCACACCCTTTGGAAAACATAACTGAAATCAGTCGCTTCCTATAACCATCAATAAGCCTTCTGACAACCTCTCACCCGGAATTTTGGACCACTCTTCCTTTGCAAACAGCTCCAGGTCTCTCTTATTGGAAGGACACCTTTTCCCAACAGCAATTTTAAGATCTCTCCACAGGTGTTCAATGGGATTTAGATCTGGGCTCATTGCTGGCCACTTCAGAACTCTCCAGGGCTTCTTTGCCATCCATTTCTGAGTGCTTTTTGAAGTATGTTTGGGGTCATTGTCCTGCTGGAAGACCCAGGATCTTGGACGCAAACCCAGCTTTCTGACACTGGGCCCTACAGTGCGACCCAAAATCCTTTGGTAAATCCTCAGATTTCATGATGCCTTGCACACAGTCAAGGCACCCCAGTGCCAGAGGCAGCAAAACAACCCCAAAACATCATTGAACCTCCACCATATTTTACCGTAGGTACTGTGTTTTGTTCTTTGTAGGCCTCATTCCGTTTTCGGTAAACAGTAGAATGATGTGCTTTACCGAAAAGCTCTATCTTGGTCTCATCTGTCCACAAGACGTTTTCCCAGAAGGCTATTTGGCTTACTCAA